TTATAGTTTTAATGGAGGAAATTTTTAAAGGAAAAAGTAGAAATTAGGTGCTTTTCAATGCAAATTAGATGCATAATGGCTGTGTCTACATGTTCATTAATGCACTGTAATTATGGCGCATTAAGTTCGTACAGGTACTAAGTTACCTGTACTAACTTCATGCGTCATAATAACAGGTACTAACTTAATGCACCATAATCAGCACTCCCTCACAGTAGTTCCAGCAAACACTTTTTTGTGTGTAATGCTAATGTGCAATAGATTAATTCTACTGTGCATTAGCACATTAGCATAGTTCTTGCCTGCTGCACTACTGCATAGTAGAATTAATCTACTGCACATTTAGCATCTCATGTAGATATGCCCAATAGCTGGTAGTGCTTTTAAAATCCATGCCACAGTGTCTTTCTATATTATAGCAGCAGAGTGCAAAGGAAACAAGTCACACCTCCCCACCCCTGCTCTGTGTGCATCAATCTCAAATATAAAAGGATGCCTTTGGGATACCCCTGGCTCTGCACGCAAAACCTGGGTTTTCTGGTGTACCTTGGACTTTCTCGCTGTCTCATTAGGGTTGATGTGCATGGAGCAAGAGTGAGTTGGAAGGGGTCTTGTGAGGATAAATACATTTAAAGGTTGTGAGACTTTTGGACACTACAGAAATAGGGATCCTTAGAAGTATGATAGATAGACTTCAGCACACTTGATTTTAAACTTTGATGCAAAAAAAGAATAATTTGGATGCTCTTTGAGCAACAAACCCATTATCAGATGCTGGTAGTACTAGTTATAAGGAACAATGGTCTTGTCTCAAATAGCTCCCAATCTAAGGAAAAACAGACAGGCAAGCAGGGTTTAAGAGAAAAGGAACATCTTCTGGGAACTTTTAAAAACTAACAGACTAACTTCCCGTGGTCAAAAATGGGTCTTTAAATGTAGAGGAGCATGTGTTGAAGGTACAGTATATAGTGATGGGGTAAGAAACTCTTAGGCCACATCCACACAAGCAGGGGTGTGCATTTGCAGCAGCACAAATTTGTGCTGCAGTACACACTTCTGTCTGTGTGCTTTGCAGTGGGATACATTGTCCTGCTGCTCCATGTGCTGTAGGGGACTGTCTGGGGCACAGGGTGTCTCAGCATGGGGGCTACCCAGTGTGTCTTGAGATGGGGGAGCAGGCACCCCTGGGCTTGCTTTTCCCCTGCCTCTGCATGCCTCAGCACAGAGCCTCTGAGGCAGACCCCCCATGCTAAAGCACATGTTGCCCCTGCACCGAGGCACCCTGTGCCCCAGCCAGCCATGCAGCAGCTGGCTAGGGCACTGTGTGCCTTGAGCGGGGGAGCAGGCAGAGCCCCCACACTGAGGCACACGAGACAGGGGAGCAGGCAGCCAGGGAGTGGCTTGCTGGGGCACAGTGCACAGAGAGAGGAAGCAGGCAGCTCTGGCCTACCTGCTCCCCTGCCTTCACATTTGTCCTCGTGCACACCACTTTGGTTTGCCTTGTGCCACTTTTTTCTTCAGGGGTTTTTTTGCTACTGGGAAATCCCGGTAGAAAATTTTGCCCTGGCACTGCAAATTAGCAGTGCTGTGCATAGTTTAACATGCAAAGGGTGCAGTTTGTGGTGCTGTAACAAGGTTTATGGGGCCACAAATGGCACATGCCTGAAAGTCTGGATCTGGCCTCAGACACCAGCCAAATATGGGAAGTGGATGCAACAGAAGGTAAATAGGGAAAGACAAACATTTACTACTTTGAAGGTAATGGTAAGAAGCTAAATTTTGGTGTGAGAGTTCAGAAAGAACCAACTTAAGGAGACTTTATATGAAACAAAGATAACAAGCGCAGGTAGAAGGGAATGAGAGAAGATTCTGTGCAGAATGGCTGGAAGGGTTCCAGGACAAACAGGAATAACTAGCATCTGCTTCAAGACTGAAAGTAACTAGTCCCATTTTTCCTTCTAAATCAGTTACAACCTCAGTGTGTTTGCAGTTCTTTGCAAAAACCATGCAACTATACAAATCATTACATATCCATGTGAGGAGCAACCAAAAGAAATTAACAAAAGGGCTCTCCTCTCTCCTTTATCTTTGCAGCTCCATTAAAGATAAATTAACCCTTGTTAAAATTAAAAGAACTGGACAGTATGGCTAACAGTAAAATTTGATTCTAACTCATGAGTTCAGGGATTTCTTTCCACCTCTGGGGAAAAAAGTACTGAAAGGGAGATGAATGAGGGTAATTAAGAAGTAAACATTTTGGGGCAGAGGACTAGATCCAGGAAAAGGCTTAGGAAGCAACATGTGTGGCATTCAATACCTGATGCTTGAGTACCTGGTTCCAAGAGTAGAAGTCAAATTCAAGAATTAGGATATAAATGTCTGGGAAGAATAAGGCACCTCAGAAAGACAATACAAAAATTCTGTATGTGCAGCTAGCCACCAGGATATGCTAACAATGGTCAGTTGTTTGAACTGCTTCTCCTCTCCTGACTTTGGCCCCTTAGTCAGGGTTGCAGGCTGACCAGCTTTCCCTGGAGGGTAGACACCTACAGCTGTTCTTTGAAAGAAATGATCAGGGCTCACTCTTTTTTTTGGAAACACAGGCAGTGATGGTGTTACTGTCATGGCATTGCCATGTACTTGTTATATAACAGCCTAGTGGTAAAAGCACTCATCCAGAACATGGGAGATGTGTGATTAGTCCTTCCTCAGGCAGTCAGAATTTAGGATATCACTACAGTTCCTGCAAGTCGACATTGGCACCCATGATGGATTACTTGAGACCCTCTGGGTTAAAATCCATGGGGAACACAACATAGGGGATACTATGGTGGTAGTCTACTAGAGACCCCCCTACCCAGAGTCAAGACCTTGATGAGGAGTTCACCAGGGAATTGGCTGAGGCCGCATGATCCCAGTGTATGGATGTCATGGGAGACTTTAACTACCCAGACATCTCGTGGGAGGAGCGCTCGGCCAAATCCGAGTGGTTGCAAAGCTTCCTCTCATGTGTGGATGACCTCTATCTGTCACAGGAAGTCTACGGGCTGACAAGAGGTAAAGCGCTGCTTGACCTCATACTGGCAACCAGGGATGACCTAATCAGCGACCTAATGATCGAAGGGAAGCTGGGTTACAGTGATCATGAGTTGATCACCTTCACCATCTGCTGCAGAGCTGGCAAATCAGTCAGTAATACAGAAGTCCTCGACTTCAAGAAAGCTGACTTTGACAAGCTAAGGAGGCTTGACAGAGAGGCCCTAAAAGGCCACAACCCAATGGTGAGGGGAGTTCAGGATGAGTGGTTGCTCCTCAAGGGAGCAATATCCTGGATGCGCAAGCAAAGTCCATCCCGTCTCAGAGGAAAAGCAGCAAAAGGGTACAGCATCCCCCTTGCCTCTCCAGGGAACTGGCAGCCCTCCTACATCTTAAAAGGAAGACCTACAAAGGATGGAGGACTGGAACTGCCACCAAGGAGGAATACTCTGCTCTGGTCTGGACGTGGAGAGAGCAAGCCAGGAAAGCCAAGGCTGTGATGGAACTCCAGCTAGCTACAAATATCAAGGAAAATAAAAGTCCTTTTTTAGATATGTGGGGAACTGGAGGAAAAGCAAGGGCAACATTGGACCCCTGCTAAACCAGATGGGGCAACTGACAACTGACGCCCAGGAAAAAGCAAACCTGCTAAATGGGTACTTTGCGTCAGTTTTTCACCAGTCCCATGGGACGGCCCTGCCCACTATGGGTCAGGGAGGCCCAGGTGAGGGAGATTCCTTGCCCTCCATCGAAGCTGATCTCGTGAAGGAACACCTTGAGAGGCTGGATACCTTCAAGTCAGCTGGCCCTGATGGGTTACACCCATGGGTACTC